ACAGTTTTTAAACTTGGGTCGTTTTCTTGGGCCGTTTTGATTTCGCTTGGCTTCCATTCCTCACTCTCTACAGTTGTTCGCCGCAGATGGCCAATCTTGTCTTCTATTTTAGAACAATCTGTGCAGTTGTCCTTGCACGGTCTTCTTGACAAAGCGTCTGCATTATTGTGAACTTTTCCAGCCCTGTGTTCAATGTCGTAGTCATATTCCTGAAGACGTTCTAACCATCTTGCCACCTGTCCTTCTGGGTTTCGGAACTGCAAGAGCCACTTTAGCGCTGCATGATCTGTCCTTATCAGGAACTTGCGGCCGTAAAGGTACTTATGGAAATGTTCGCATGCCTTTACCACACCCAGGAGCTCTCGCCTAGTCACACAATAATTCCTCTCGGGTTTCGACAGTACTTTGCTGAAATAGGCAATGACTCTTTCCTGTCCGTCTTGCAATTGAGAGAGAACAGCTCCAATGGCGGTGTTACTGGCATCGGTATCTAGCACAAACTTTCCTTCATTTCTGGGGTAGCCAAGGATAGGTGCGCTAGTAAGAGCCTGCCGGAGATGTTCGAAAGCTCTTTGACAGTCTTCACTCCATTCGTACTCATTGCCTTCTTCTGTCAACTTTATTAATGGTTTGGCAATGTTGGCAAATCCTTTCACGAATCGTCTATAATAGGTGCACAAACCGAGGAAACTTCGAATATCGTGCTTGTTCTCAGGAATCGGCCACTCTTGAATCGCTATAATCTTCTCTGGGTCAGCTGTAACACCATCACGAGATACGATGTGCCCCAAATATTTAACTTCTTTTTGGAACATAAAGCATTTCTTGGGACTTAGTTTTAAATTGGCCTCTCGTAATCGTCCAAACACCTCTCTCAGGTTCTTTAGGTGTTCTTCAAAAGTTTTTCCTACGACAATTACATCATCCAAATATACCAGACATGTCTGCCACGTTAGTCCCCTTAGAACTGCTTCCATAAGTCTCTCAAACGTCGCGGCCGAATTTAATAGACGGTAGTCAACGCAAAATCTTGTGGAGCCATCCTTCTTCTTTACAAGCACTATCGGTGATGACCAAGGACTATTTGATGGCTTGATGACACCTTGTTTTCTCATGTCTCTAATAATCTCCTCAGCTTCGTCTCGTTTAGCCAATGGGAGTCGCCTTGGCTGTTGTCTAATCGGTTGGGAATTGCCAGTATTTATTTTATGGGTGACTATGCTTGTCTTTCCCTTGTCCTGGTCGTTTACCGCGAACACATCCCGAAATTCCACAAGCATATTTTTCACCTTTTGTCGTTGTCTATTGTCCAAATCTGGGGTGTTTTTAATGACCATATCTATCAGCTCTCTTGGATACTTTCCTTTAGATAGATTTTCCGATTTCACAGAGCGAATAGCCGAGATGGGCACACACTGTCCAACTGCAGTTCGTTTGCTTAGCTTAACAGGACTATCTTTCAAATTCATAATTCGAATCGGAACGCCATTTTGAACTTTTACCAGAGCCCTAGCCACTAGAAATTCCTTTTCGTTTAGTGCTTCGACTATCCGTAGGCTTCCCTGGCGACAATATCCATCTAAAGTGGTCATTATAATTTTTTCACTAAGTCCGGGTATAATGACGTCATGAGTGGTTACCAGGCGGATGGCATCTTCTTTGTCTTCATGGAAAGGGAGTTCTTCATCGCCGACCTTTAACACGCCCTTTTTCACGTCCAACACAGCTCCGAGTTTCTTAAGAAGATCCATCCCCAAGATGAATTGATCAGAAATATCAGCAATTAGCACCTGGTGATTGATGGTGGTCTTCCCGATGGTGACAGACATTTGTATTTCTCCGTGCGTTTTTATTCTTTCACCAGTTGCTGTTTTTAACTGCACGGTCGAAGATGAGATCCGAGAATGATTCTTCAATAACTCTGGTCTTGCAATAGTTCTTGTTGCACCTGTGTCTACTAGCAAGGATCTGTCTTCTCCATTAACTCGGCCGTCGATGTACAAATTCAGAACTTTTCCAGACGACGAAATGTTTACAGTGAAGATCGGGGCTTTGTTTCTGCAGGTCGACGATAGCCCCTTCCTGTCGACCTTTCTTAGTTTTCCGACTGCTGCAATGGTTTTTGGCAGTTGCGGCGAACGTGTCCAATCTCGCCGTGGTTCACGTTTCTTTGCCAGTGACTGTATTGCTTTATTGATCTTTTCTTCCACTACTTTACTGACCTTTTCTTCAAAACTTCCAGAGTCACCTTCCTCTTCGATTGTTCTTACCCGGCTGTCACTGCGAGGTTCCACCATACGTACTCGCGCACTTCCATGACTAGCTTTCTTGGCGGCTTCGAATTCTAACGCATGGGCCAAAGCTTTCTCAATTTTGTCGTGCCTAGCCAGTCTCAAAGCCTGCTGGGCATCTCCATCACGAACGGCATCGATAAATGTTTGTACAGCCAGTTGATCAAGAAAGCTCTCCGGTGCCGTAGGGTATGCCAATCGAATCAGTCTAGCGATGTCCGCTTCAAGTTCCTGCAAACTTTCTCCAGGTTTCTGCATTCGGTTCTTGACTTGGGAATAGTAAACTTGCTGAAGGTGTTTATCGCCATATCGCATTTCGAGTCGCGCTACTATTTGTTGGAAGTTCTGTTGATCCTCGGGGATGGTCCGCAACACATCCAGAGCATCTCCTCTCAGAGCAAGAATCAGGGCTGTAGTTTTGTCTTGAAGAGTCCATTTATTTGCCGCAGCCGCTGCTTCAAACTGTCGAACGTACGTGGTCCAAGGAATCTTACCATCAAAAGTAGGTGGCTTTACTCGGGCTTGCTGAACGTCGCCTTCTACTCTTGTATTTGTTTCTGGGGCACTACTAGTACGCTCTTTCGTAGTCAGTCGCAAGAATTGCTCGCGCAGCTCTTCATACTTGTGCTCAATCTCGACGAATGTTGCTTTAAATGTTTTGGAAACTTCCGTAATTCTATCTTCAACTTTTTCTTCAATTGATTTAGAGACTTCTTCGATAATCTTTCTAGAATTTTCCTCCATCTTTTCGAACTTCTCGTCCATTTTCTCGAACTTCTGTTCAAAATTTCTAGAATTTTCTTCCAACTTCTCTTGAATATTTCTAGAATTTTCTTCATTAATCTTTCTAGAATTTTCTTCCATTTTCTCGAACTTCTCTTCAAAATTTCTAGAATTTTCTTCCAACTTCTCTTGAATATTTCTAGAATTTTCTTGGGTGCTTTTCATTTCTTGTTGCAACACCTGTTGGCCATTTTGGATTTGCTGGAGCAAATTGAGCATCGTTTCTTCCATTTTAGCGGCAGCAGATCTTGTTACAGGCATACACAAGCACCTAATTTAATCTTACTTTTAATTAATTTAATTCTCGAATAATCGCGCGCGTAGAAAATTCCAGAGCGCCAAAGGCGATGTCATGTCTGGAGCATTTCCGTTACAATATGAAGTCTATAGCTATTGTAGTTGCTGAGATCTCACCCGGACAGCCGGCCATCCAGAGCCAGCCATAACGAATATAATAGCGTATTTTTTTCAAAAATGCGCTAAAAATGTATAGAAAGAGTAAAATACATGCTCATGGTAAAGTAAACAAAATAGACAAGGATGGGAAAGTATGCAGATTTAATATAATCATTGACTACAAATCTAAATATACATTGAGGTGTTCCAGTAGTATAATTAAGGCCAGTTTACTATAGCCACACCAACATTGAGAGCACAAACGCATATTTTGAGAGCTGTTCTTGAGATATGTGGCCCAACGAGAAGTATACAGAGGGCTTTTAGGGTATTCAATTTATAAATTTCGAAAAATCCTCGAACACGTCAATTTTGTATTCGAGGGGGACAACTTTTGGAGTACAAATCACGAACCCAAGTCTTCACCCCTCTACGTAGGGAGCTTAACCCCTAAAATTTTAAATGGAATCCTATGGCAAATGGCACATTATTTGAAAGCCAATTTAATCGTGATTACTAATCTGCTTTGCTTTTTAAATTCTATTGATGCGTTTCGGAGATACTCGCATTTGGCCAAAATGTACCTACACGGGAACCTATCCACGATAGTGGCCTCTGGATGTGGCAACTTCCGTCTACAAAAATTCTTACCCCCTCTACCATTATATTCCCTCCATTAGTCTTCTAAATCTATGGTGCGTACTGAAGGCGCAAATAAACAGACTGCTATACTGTATTCATTTAATTTTGTAAGATGGTAGTTTATGTTGCCAACTAAACTGCCGAAGTGTCATTAGTTGTTATTGTCAAGGATTTATTTCTGTTTGCAGTGCTGAATATTTCTACTTTACAATAATTTGGTGCCGTTTTATATTTTTCCTGTGTGTGTTTATCTTCAAACACAGCGCCATCTACTACCTTCTTATAATCAATGCAATATAGGAGACGACGACGCGCTCAAATCGCAATCAAGACGTCGAGCTCAAGTGGCAGTTACATAATTATACAATCACGGAACAGGCAAACGCGACTCTATTCGACTTTTTAATAAATTAACATTACAGGATTTTTCTTTCTGTTGTAATTTTTTGCCGCTCTGTTAGCCCCTCTGTGAATATGGCACTGATGCTACAATCTTTAACGGGATAAACCTTCGTTTAACCAATCCTAGTCACTTAAAGCTCGAAGAGTTTGCAACGCCACCATCGTCAGCAGATAGTATTCTACAGTTCCTTAACCTGCCTGCGTTGCGTGTTTGTTTTGTAACGTGTTGACAAATTTACCTATCTAAAAAATGGAGGTTGGAAATGTGTTTAGATCAAATTTCTGTGATCGATTCCAAAGCTTTTTGTCTTCTAAGGTACTAACACTTTCTACCTATTCCACAGAGACCCACTCATGTATAATAAATCGCATTAGTGAGTACAAAAACCATACCTTGGATTTAACTCACGTTATCTTAGATCTAAATTAGAGTAACTATTGTACTTATATAACATTGGATGAGCTATCTGTAGTAGATATATTTACATGTGTTGTAAGATTATAGAAGCAGATGTATAATTTAGTCAGCATTCTGTGACCTTGCATCAACACAGGACCATTTGTAACAAATGTGCGAAATCTGTGCAAAATTTGTCTGAAATTAATTCACAAATCAATGATGCAGAGACACATACGCTGAACTTTTCGCTTAAACTTGTTTGGTTATAATTCACTTTAGATGCAGATGACCAGGAAGAGTCAGAAGGTGATGCTGATGACGAAGAGGAGGAAGAAGGACATGTTGCCGAGGAAGCAAAACCTCCTCCACCTCCTTCTCCAAAATATGATGATGAAACGCAAAAAATAGTGGATGCGGCCAGTAATGCTCGAACAGAATATCACTCCGCCAACGATGCTGCATCAAAAATTAAATCGGAGATAAACGACGTTGAACAGTATTTGAAAACTGACTTCGGAGTAGACGACGAATTTGCCATTTTGGAAAGCGAATGCTTTGAATATACAGATCACGAGTATATTTACAAATTATGTCCGTTTAACAAAGTCATTCAGCAACCAAAGTCGAGTTCTCTCGAAACTCATTTAGGAAAATGGGGCGAATGGATAGGAGTAGAAAATAAATATTCAGTCATGCACTTCACCGGTGGTCAGTCGTGCTGGAACGGTCCAGAGCGATCGACAAAAGTACGAGTTGTGTGCGGTAGTGAAAATAAAGTGACAGCGGTCACTGAACCTAATAAATGTGAATACCAGTTTGATTTTACAACACCAGCAGCTTGCAGAGAATCAATGACAGATAGTGAGCACGAAATTCATGATGAATTATAATAGACTAATAGAGTATTAATTTTTATGGGGGAACATTATTATACGTATTTTTTTATTGCGTGCTAGATAAATTATTCTACAGGTTTTATTCTACACATTTGATTTACAGTGAATAAATAGTATTGGGTAATTATTTAAATTTTGCTGTCTATAATTGTAAAATTTAGGAATATGAAGGCTAAGTAAGTTGATTTTTGAAAAATAAACATTCGATACTTTTAATGCTTTTTTTAATTAAATTATTGGTTATTCTTAGGTATAAGTAGATCCTGGAACAATTTTTAATAATAATAATAATAATAAGGTCTTTATTAGATGACGATCTAAAGGGCGAAGTTCACCTAGGGGCAACATCGCCACCAAGTGTTCTTCCACTTAACCCATAACATAACTTCAATTTAAATGTTTACAATTTCGATGGACGGGTGACAAAGAGATAGCACACACACACACACAAAAAGACAATACTGTGAAAAAAAAAAGTTAATTAATAAGTAACTTGAGAATGGGACACTTTACTCGTTCAAAAGAATGTGACGTAGTGCTGATTTAAACCTGGACACTGTAAGCTTTTTAATATTCGATGGAATGGCATTGTAGACAGTGGTAATGCTATATGAAAAAGATTTTTTGAGTTCAAATGAAGAAATTATTTTTTAAGCGATGCAGATTAGAGAGATAGCTACAGTAAGTTACATAATTTTAAGTACTGTATAATAAGGTGCATACTTAGACCATATAGTACATGGACTGCTATTAGCCCTATGCTTTCAATACAAAATGGGTGGTCACGGATAGAGGGCACTGTAGTCTTGGGTATGTGAATCTCAGGGTAAACTATAAAGTCGTGTAAACACCACTCGGATCGCATAAAGAGTAGCTTTTATAGTAACCGCATAGTACGGGAAGCTTTAAATACTCTTCATTATTTGCTATACGTCCACAAAAAAGAATAGGTTTGCTTTTTTTACATATCTAGGCGATTAATTAATTGACGTTTGTTAATTTATAGGTTGACAGTCTCAAATCATATCTAATCGGACAGACTCGTTTACGCTGAAACTCACATACCCAGGTGATGCCCTTGACCATATTTTCGTTACAATTAGTAGTCCATATACTATGGTCTAAGGGTGCATATAAAATTTTGTAAGGCGATAGTTTCTGTTGTCAACTAAACTGTCATTAGCTGTTAATGTCAAAGATCCAAGCGTGAAATCGTTTAATTTATTTCTGTTCGTAGTGCTGGATATTTTTATTTTACAATAATTTGGTAACGTTTTATATTTTTCTGGTGTGTGTTCATCTTCAAAGATGGTGCCATCTACTACCTTCTTATAATTACAGATCCAGTTACAAATTGTTTCATAAGTCATATTTGAAGTAACATTACTTACCAACTATAAAGCTTGTCTTTTAGAGGCCCGATTTCGTGCGCATTCGAGTGTTCAAAACGGAGATGTGATTCAGGTATATAATATTTATTTATTATACAAGACGATAAAGGGATATTTTAACCATTGAGTGAAAGAGGGCCTCGCACTTTAATCTTTCCTCGCCAGTAATATGTCATTTTCCTGACTTATGTGAATAATTATTATTCACAATCATATACCGGGTGAATACTCTGAAACCGAACATAGGGAATTAACATGGGAAAACAGTTTTTCGCTGTTGCTCCCCAAATTAACTTAGAGGGTTCATAATGGCACCACTGGAAAGAAGATTTTTTTCTCATCTAACTAAATGCGAATTAGTTAAGTTTTATTTGTATTTTCTCATTATTTTATCAAAAATTCGCAAAATAAAATTAACTCTGAAAATCATGTAGCCATGACCCATATAAGATTTAAGCATCCGGAATTGTCAAATTGAATAACTATCTGTCAAATTGTCGATTTTGACGGAATAGAAGTTTGATTAAATTCCACGGAAAATAAATCTCGCACTCTGCGGCAACTATTACCGCCGTAAACGTTTTTTACCATAAACACTTTTTCCACAATGGAATACATCGTAAGTTTTGTGGTAATTACCATAGAACAACAAACTTAGAATGGAAACTGTAATGTAATGTAAAAATGACGCGCCATCTCGTGTATGTTCTCAGCAGCTTTTTGCGTGAATGGCGCCAAATTTAAATATTAAAATGTAAGCTACGTCCGCATGATACTGAATTTCTCCGGATCTGTAACAATATTGGATTTGACTAGCTGAAACCTAAAAGGTAAATGAATCCAGCCAGTGAAATCCAATTTTGTTTGTTAGAGATCCAAATAAATTCAGTTTAATGCGGATGCACCTCACCAGCCAGGGCCTTCAAAGAGTACAGAGCACTTGTTTTATAAGTAACAACTCCAATTAATCCAATCAAGGAGTTATATTTAATTTAATATGATTATACAAGATACAAGATCAACTTCATGGAACTCTACTGTATGATGCCCTCGAGATCGTTCTAAAAACAAAATATGTAGCAATTTATTACAATTCAATTAGTGCTACCTGCTAAATATAATGTGCGAACTGCCACACGCTTCAAATCTCTTCGTGTTCCAGGTTCTAAAGCGCAGCCAGAAAAAGGACGTTCACAAACCAAAAAGTTTTGTGTAAATTTCTTCCACATTATATTCTAAACCAATTCTTAAAAACTTCGGGCTCCATTTTTGGGAAACGTCTTCACAATTTGTCACACAACATTTACGTTCTCGACTTGTATATGCATAATTCATTGTAATAATGAATAGTAATTATACTTAAAGCACAATAAGCCGTCAATCATAATTCAAAATTCAACTGTCATAATGGCGACCACGCACGAAAGTCACTAGATTTAGTAACTTTAACACGCCCGCTAACTATGCGCCATCTATTGAATGTTCTCCAAACTAACTATATTTGCACTCAGTTGTTCCCGTTTACGTTTCCCTTCTAAGTTTTTTGTTCTGGGTAATTACAAATTAAAATGATTGACAGTTATCGTACCTTGTTTTCATGACTACCCTGATTTTTTAAAAGTACACTTTTGACTACCTAATTTCGCAAAATAATAATTAAACGTGCAACTAGACGTTAATAATTTGCATATCATAAAACGCGGAAAAAAATCTTCTTTCCAATGGTGGCATTATGAACTCTCCAAGTTAATTTGGTGAGCAACAATCTGCGAAAAACGGTTTTCCCATGTTAATTCCCTATGTTTGGTTTGAAAGTATTCACCCAGTATGTAATATGTCAATTACCAACTGTTTTGAAGTGAGCAATTTGACATCTTTTGCGAACCTTGTCGAGGTCGGCAAAGTACTTCCCGATCCCAACTTGCTCGCCAATGCCGACTAGATTTCAATGTTACACTGACACTGATGGCATTTGTTAGGTATACTACCTATTTAATACAAATTTTGAATAAAATAGTATACAAACCTCGATGGTCAGTGGTTCATAACCAACGTCTCGCGCTTATACCTCATGTACCTTCTACCTTAAGCCTTAGGCTTAGGCCACTTCCCAGCTCGGTATGTAATCTACTATTACCAAACTGGAAATGTTGCCTAGCAACATCAACTGATATCCATCTAAACTGTGTCAAACTACTGTCAGATCAGTGTTACCAGATGTACGATAATTATGGTTTTTGTACGATAATTGGAACTACTGTACAAGAGGCCAGCAATAGTTATTTGTGTACCAAGGCCGTAAAAGTGATCTTTTTTGGCCGAAGCTGCTGTTTGTGGCCGAGGCGGTAGCCGAGGCCGCAATTCAGATGAGGCCTAACAAATCACTTTTGGCCAAGGTGCACACAACATTTTTTAGGCGATCATCAAAAAAAGAATTCAAAAATTTGCTCATAAACATATTTTTTCTGAAAATCATAGTTATCTTAGACAATTAAAAACAAAGCATTTCCTGTCATATGTAATTATAATTAGCATCTTTGTGTGTGTTTTGTGCGTATCAAAATGGGTGATAGCGACAGTTCAGATACCCCAAATGAAATTTTGGAAGCTGCAAGCGTTGCGCTTGCGACCCTAAGTCATTTATTATATAAAAGCAGGCGTTTGAGAGTAAAAGTACAATCGCAACTTCCTCGGTTGCACAAGATTTTAATAATGTCAAATGCAATAGGTCCTTCGTAACTGTGGCTTCCAAGACCTTATAGTTAACGTACAATTATTAGAAACCTGATTACCTACTTTGATGGTAGGTATAGGTAGCTACTTGTGTTCTCGGTTAATTGCTGGTGATTTTTCGTATAATAATGTAAGCAATAACATCTTCCTCATGTTTTGGTTCTACACTTCAAAAAGGTCTCTGCAAGCAGCAAAGATTGAAACGTCAAACTATAATTTAAAATGTGAACATTGTGATTACGCAAAATAGTGTGAAACATTCCTACAAGTCTGAAAATGAAAAAAACGCACGTGGATGGACCCAATCCTTGATGAGGACAGACCAGATAGACGCTTTCTATCAAACAGATTACTGGTTCTCACACCACACATCAGTTTCAAATAAGTACAGTTTGACAGATGTGTACAATAAAGTAAAGTTTGACAGAAGCGTACAATAAAGTGAAACTTTATGGCCGCAAAAGCGACCACAAAATCAACGTTTTTGTGATGATAGCCTAAAAATAATTTTTTGCGCGATCGGTCATTTCTGACTATTTACCAGTTGCTATGATTACGACGACGCCAAAATTACTTACCGATCTAAAAACAGAACAGCAAAAATACTTACCGACGCCTTTTTAAAAATCAACAGTCTTACATTACATTTGATCTTTAATTATTGTTAGGTACATTAAACGTACAATTTGTGCTGTTGTTTCCTATAGCAAGACGCTCATAAAGTCATAAAGGAAGTGCAAAGCTAGTAAACTACATCAGACACATGCACATTTTTATGAAATTATTAATTCAATTTTGACAAATAAACTGGTTACCTAGTGATGTACACCATACCACTTCGATCATTTCGATTTATTCTGCTCGTTAATTTCTTAGTTCATATTTATATTGGTTGAATAATTTTAATTTCGATCGCGCAAAAAATGTTATAAGCACGTCGAACGTTAAGGGTTACCGTTCTCAGACAATAATTGGAGTCGTCGCTTCGCTCCTCCTCCAAACAATTGTCTTCGAACGGTAAAAATCCCTTACCGTTCTCCATACCATTGAATAATAATATTATTCAATGTCCATACTTAATATACTATTTTT